TAACAACAGGAACTGCAGCATCTGAGCTTAAGGGCAGTTGGAAGAGACACAGCAAAAATCCTTTTTGCATCCTGCAAAGCTCTGTATCAGTCTCTGTACTTAACAGGCATTCCCATGGGACTGTGCAAAAGGCAAGAATCTAACCGTGGTCTAGGGAGAACAGCACCCAGGGCTCTCCCCCTGCCAAATTTTTAGTGGCAGAAAACAAAGTTGTTTCCAGGAATGTGCTGTATCAGTGTAATCTTAGAAATGTGGAAATTGCTGCAACATTTTATCAGTGGAAGATTTCTAGGATCCATTTAGTGTGAGGGAAACAGGAGTAGGGGGAATTAATTCATGTGATCTGCAAAAAAAACATAGGGAAAAATCAGATTTAACTGAAACACCACATGCTAGGCTTGGGCTCTGCAGCAGAAGTGTTTGCACCACGATTCAGCCCAGCAGAGAAGGGCTGCGGTTTCCCCCCACGACATCTATAACTGCAGCCCCAGTAAACAGCAAAAAAAGCCCATTCCTGAAAAGATTCTGGCTGTAGTGCCTCTTCCAGCAAAACACAGATAAACCCTTGGTTCATGCTTACCAGAACTTCCTTAAGCAAGGATAAGAAAACAAATCAAACTGTATCCCAAATGCACCATGACTGTTTCTTGTGTGAGCGCCGCACAGTAAAGGCACACTGCACACTCATGCAGCAGGGAGCTTGCATCCCTGCAGATACCGCAAACCCCACTCTACAGGGATGTGATTCCCTTCACTGCCAGTAATGGAGCCAAGAGAGCGGAGATACCAATGGGTTAAAGAGCTTAGGGTGAAAGGGAGCAAGTGTGAAGTAGTAGAACAGGGCAAAATGTTGTCTCTCCTCCAACACTGCTGCAATACTGAAGCTGAAGGCTTCCCTTGTGCTCCAATTCTGACTCACTTCCTTGAGATTTACTTTAACACTTCATTTGAGTTACTAATGAGTTACAAAGTGAAGTCATTTGCTAAGAATCAGAAAAGCACTTTATTTTGCTCTCAGATACAGAATCTCAGCAGACTGATGTACTGATTGTGCTTTCATAGTATGGCCAGATGCTTTAATCAATTAATTAATTGTCCCTCATTTTGTTACAGCCCCAGTGCTCTGGTCCAGTAGCTTATTGCCTACTATAATAGATAGGCACACTGCTATGTGAGAAAACGAGCAATAGTTTATGTCTTGAAAAGTGTGTCTATTTTAACACCAGGTAATGCCCAGCCTGGAACATTTTCCAAATGGCCAACACAATCATCCCATAGGGAAGCCAGTCACCTGCCCGGGTCCCAGCCCAGCCATGCTACATGTTGTTCTGTTGCTGTGGCTTTTGTACTGACTCATTCCAGCCCCAGATGCCCCCAGAAAGTGTCGTGCTGCAGTGGTGATGACTTCTCACACCTTCCTTCCTTGCCTCCCTGTAGACTTCTTTACCCTGTTGCTCCCCCACAGTGAGCACACCAGCAGCTTGAATTAAGTATCTCCATTTCAGCGTGCTCATGAACCCACATTCATTTCTGGAAGCCTCTTTTGTACTCTGAGGCTAGGAGAAAGGTCTTCTGTCTGCAAATGCACCATGGCCTCCCAAGATGGGCTCCCACTGGCATCCAGCTGTGGAGGAACTGGTCAGATTTCCCCCATAATGGGGCTGACATTTCGCTGTATGGGTAGCAGGCAGCGGGTGCTGCTGCTCTGCCACCCACATCACCTCTTAGCAGGATAATGGGGCTGGAGAGCAGCTTTCAAGTGGGCTTTTCCCTCAAGTGAGGGTCTTGACAATAAGCCTGATTGGGAAAACACACATTTTAGGACGTGCATTGGCTGCAGACAAGCAGGATTCATCCCTCCCTGTCTGCAGGATGAGGTTGGTTCATCGAGCTCTCTGCAGAGCTACACAGTGCATTAGCAACAGGCTCGAGTCTAATAATAATACTCTGCCAGCAATTAAAAATACAGCTCCATTTAAGGGTGAGATACACAGCTTGGGATAGAGACTGTGGGATGTAAAAAATGACACCAGGGGGTATTTTAAGACAAAACAGCTGAAGGTACAAGCTGGCTACACAGCACAGCTCGCTCCCCCGCACTGGGCTGCTGCTTCCACCCCTTCAGAGAGCCAGAGCAAAGCCCCCATCTTGTGTCCTGGGAGCAGCAGCTGTCAAAGACACTGTGAAGCTTTGCCCAACCTTTCTTTGGTTTGGGGCCAAATGGGCAGGTTTGGGGTCTGGGAGTGCAAGCAGGCTGAGTTCCCAGTGTCCCACAGAGCCTGGGTGTCCTACTCCAGGTCTCAGGACAGCCATCAGTACTTGGAAGCACATGGGGAAGGCCCCCATGTTGCTTTGGGAACTCAGGAGGTTATAGCAGGGATGCTATGGAGCAGATTCAGCAGCAAATGAAGCAAACCAAAACCTAGTTGTTATTTCCATGTCTTTGAGACTGTTGTTAGCCATTACCTGGACCTGTCTGAGCTCACCTAAGGGAAGGCAGGGAGAGTTTTATCCAATGAAATACATCAGAGAGAGAGATAACAGGCAGATAATACTTCCTATGCCAGAACTCCCTTGGAATAACAAAGAGCTGATGAAAAAGGAATATACTTAGAGACAAAAAAGGACTTACACATAGCCCAAGACAAGTCCAGGCTCTCAGCCAAACTAACTTCAGTGTGACAGCTGAGACGTGTCTTAGAGTGAAAAACAGTTCTCGCCAGAACTGTCAGAGGAGGTTCTCTAAGTCAAACAGCCTGAATGACTTGGTTCCTTCCCCTCCACAAGTAACCTCCAATCTCCCTATAAAGCTTTTACCATATTCAGCTGTATCCACTGGTTGCTAACACTCCCATGTAAACAAAAATACATATTCCCCAGCTGGGATTGACATGTACAATGCAGCAGACATTTATGTACTGTATTGAGGCTGCCTATGTATATTCTGTGTCTCAGGATAATGCCTTGCTATCCCAGCTCCTGATTTCCATGATCTGTATGCACTACTACTTACAAGCCAATGGCCACGGCAGTCCAGGTAGTATAGCCCATGCAGTCTGCTGGAGGGCATGAGCAGCCCCCCGCTGCCAGCTGCAGCAACCACCGCTTCTGAACACCTTTGGGCTGTTGCTGCAGAAAATAGAGCAGCTCCATCCCATTCAGTAACTATTACAAGCTCCCGCAGCATGTACTGTCCTTCAGGTTACATCTGCCTGCATCTTGCTAAAAAAGGGGAGGCAAACTCAACCAGGGAAAGTGAAACAGGGATTTCCAGTGACCCTGGGTCTGGCAGTGCCAAGAAAAACCGAAGCACTCATGAAAATACATAAACGAAGCCAAATCTAAAGCACTTACAGAGCTAAGAAGTGCTAACGAGCAGTAAGTAGTGGGCTGCTCATAATTTTGCAGCTTCTTTGTCAGACACTTGGCAACCTGCTGTGTTTTGTAAGCGGCTGAAAGACAGAAAATGGCTCAATTTTGCTGGCTACTGGAGAGCACTTAGGGTTTGCATCCTATGGTAAGGAGCGAGGGGTCCCAGGCAGGGCCCGGTCCACCTGCAGATACAGGGAACACCAGTGCTGGAGCAGTCCTGGCACTGGCATTGTTTTGGCATCTCCTCATCCTAGGAAATCAGAATTACGAGTGGATGTGAGTTTGATTCCTGGAGGTAGTACCAACACCACTAGGAGCTTTGCTGCATTTTCCTTTGAGAAGTGGTATCGATCACAGCATGCAGAAAGTGGGACCCTTTGCTGGCCTAATCCAGCTATTTCCACTTTCTTCAGTTTCTTCCTGCTAACACATCTTATTTGTGAACAACAAGAATTTCATTTCCCAGCCACTCTGAACACTGATAAACTCAACAACCCAAACACGATAAGAAAGCAGCTTTCTTGTGTAACCCACCTTTCTGAAGCACAGATTTGTATCTTCATCTCTCTCCCTGCAGGCAGGGATGTACTTTACTCACAGCAAGGCACCAGCTAAGAGCTCTTTATCCTCCTGCTCTTGTAAGCAGGACAGAGCCATGTAAAAGGCAGGAAGCCACCTGGGAGCACTTTCATTTCCATCCCTGCCTGTAATTATTTTCATCTCCCAGTTTTCAGCTCGCTGGCAGCCACAGCTCACTCACAGGGATGGACGGGAATACTGATCTTGGAAAACAAACCCAAAACATGCAGAACTGCCAAACAGAAATCAAAAGCAAGGGTCATGTGTCCTCCCCAGGCTTGTAATTGCCTCTCCTGATGCAGTTTGCATCATCATCTAATCATTGTTGATATTCAGAAGATCTTTGAAACGTTGCACCTTTCCAGGGATAACAAAGAATGAGTAATTCCAGACCCAGAACCAACGTTTCTTCTGGGAAAGTTCCTCTCTCAAGAACATTTTGGCTTCAGAGAGCAGTGAGTCACTTGTTCAAAGTCTCTCCTTAGCAGACTCAGTGCCATGTCTGTCCCCTCCTGGCCAAACACTTGAGCTGCTCCCCTGACTGGCACTGGCTTTGCCTCCCCTCCTGCTCTCTCACCAGACTGACAAGGGACACCCCTGAGCAGTCTATAATGCAGGGGCATTCAGAAGAAGAGCCTGTCTTAATCCCATGGGAGTTCAGCCCGAAGTTGAAGTCTTTCAAAACGCAGTTCCTGCTCTCATCACACAGCTTAGGAAACGTTAAAAAGTTAATGGACATTGCTGCAGCATCAGGGTTGAAAATCTGCTGCTTGTGGGTTTGGCTTAAACCAGTAGTTTAAATGTGCAAGAAATCACAGAATTAAAGACAAAGCCCCTCAGTGCTAAACTATCAATGTGTACTGCAGGCCAGGATCCCACATTTCATACCATATGCCAATATGTCTCTAATGCAGACCCTGCTGGGGACCAGTGATGGTCTTGCTGGGGGACTGCAGATAAGAGGAAAAACAGAAAACACCAAACAAGCCAGCAAACAAAACTACCTGGCTTTTTTGGGAGTCATACTTCTCCCAGGCAGAAGCTTTTAGGGATAACATTCCCAAATCACTTGAAGCTGCGTGCCCATCCTTCCGTATTGGTTGCTATGGTGAGGGATGACGGAGCCCCAGACGGGTATAATATGAGGCAGAGCACAGGGAAGGGATTTTGCAGAGGCAGGAGGGAGGAGAGCAGTTGGGAAGAGGGGAAGGTGCTGCCTGCCTGTGGCCACACTGCTCCCCAGCACTGACAGGAGGTAAGTGGCTGCCCCAGCCCTGCGTGGGCTCCGTGATGGGTGCATGTCCTGCACTGCTCTTCATGTAAGAATGGCTGAAACGATCATTGAGATGAGCTGATTCTTGAGTGAATTAGAGGGGAGTTATAGTGAGAGAGGGAGGAAGAGGGGAAAAAGAAACTGGTTCTATTGCATGCAGCTCTGCTTGGAGCACTGGGATGGTTGGGAGAGAATGCCGCAGCAAGCTCAGAGAGCACTTTAGCAGTCTAAAGGAGTGATGTACTGAAGTGATTTGTGACTGTTGCTAGACAGTAGTTTGTTAGTGGTCAGTGTCTTCTATCTGGGGGAGAGCTTTGTACTTATTATTCTTGTATTTGTATTTCCCTAAAGGCATTTATTTTATATTTCGCCAATCTTCAGATTTCACATTTACAATCCTGATACTATATTGTGAGATGCTGCAGGAATAGAAAGAGTTTATGCTCCATTAAACAACAAGTAAGGCACAGCAAATGCAGCAAAAACTTAAACCAGTGAATTAATCATTATGCAGCTTTTAAAATAGCATTTAGGTGTAAAATCAAAGTATCTGTTGGCAGCTTCACAAGCTAAACTGGAGATAGCTTAATGATCAGTTTATGTTAATCACACTTGCAGTCTTTTCTATTCCATGGGAAATAAAAAAGCTAATTAAGCTTCCTATATAGACAACTAGTCAGAAAGAAGAGATTTAAAAAACCCAAAATCTAACTAAAGCATAAAGTATGCCTATGTCCCGGTTGTTATTTTGGTTTTGAAACAGGGTGATACATTAGTCCAGGTACCAGCAGGATTCATCTTTTGTTATTTTAGTCATCTAAAACCTAGCAGCTAATCTAAGCTAGGCAGGCACAGTCCTGAGTCCAATCTAAGTGAAGCAGGGGAAAGACTTCACTGATGTCAGTGGCCCTTGAGCCTGTATACAAATGAGGAAACTCAGCCTCTCCCTGCATCTGGTTTCAGGAGCACCATGAACATCGAAGTGCACAACATCACTTACACCAGTGCCACCGTCTCCTGGGCCATGAACAACCCCTGTCCAGAGAACTATTACCACGTCATGTACCGCCCCAACTGGAACAGCATCTTTGCTGGCTACTTACGCCAGAACTTCCACCGTGAGGAGCGAGTTCCTCACCCCCTCAGCTCCCTCGTCCTCCACCGACTCACACCATCCACCATCTATGTTCTCTGCATCACATGCAAGAACTCTTACCCCTCCGGCAACCACTGCACCACCTTTCACACTCTGGACAAAAACCCTCTGATTTTTGGCGGCTCTAAGCATGAATCTACCACCTCCATATGGATGGTGAGCAGCCTGCTGCTCCTCTGCTTCATTGCTCTTCTGGCCTACGGCTGCCTGCAGTTCTGGTCTGCACGGTGCCACCGGGCTGTGAGGCTGAAGCATCCCAATGCTAGCTCTGAAGAAGGGAGCAGCTCACGGGAGAGGCCACTGGATGATGGGCTGAGAGAGGAGTTTCTGGAAGTCCCCATGACCACTGTGCTAATGAGGGGCTCCAGCTTCATGAGGGAGAGCCCGTACAGCTCCTCCCACAGCTTTTTTTCCTATAAAACCAGTGATGATAAAAGAGCCATCCTGCCACAGCATGGCCTTCAATGAGAGCAAAATAAAGGGAGATCCTGCTTGGAGAGCCCTGCTTGGTTCACACTGCTCTTTCCCGGCTCTTGCCAACAGGAATGTCTGTGTGTCCACAGGGACTTTCTGTCCCAGGGTAGAACACGAGGCAGGACATTGATCGCACAGAGAAGGATTTTTGTCAAGTGACAAAACCATTCTCATTTGCTGAGGCTTTGTAAAAAGAAACCAAGTCAGGTCTCTGGGAAGGGAGAGGCTCAGCTGACTGCAGTGTCATTACCTAATCTACATCAGTGCTGTAGATTCACTTCAGTCATCAATCATAACAAACTCCACTCAAGTAGATTCACACTTGAGTGATCCTCCACTAGCATCACACCCCAAGCCCTCATAACACCTGTATAAACAGTCATTGCAGCCTGACAAAAGAGGTATTTGCAGAATCAAGTAGTCTCTTTTGTTCACACAACGATTTTAGTAATTCCTATTTTGAACTCACAAATGGGATTCCTGAAGTGGTACCTTCTTTGGGGAGAAGCATTGCTTTGGAGCTCCAACTTGCTCTCCTCTCTCTGCATTTGGGTGGATGTGACCTGGTCTCAGTGCCAACACCAAGCACAGAGCAGTGTCAGCATCTCCTGATATGGTCATATTATGGAGAAGAATATGGGAAAGCAATAGCAAGAGCACACTGAATCTGCTTCTTGCATGGCTTTTTGGTTTCAGACGGCAATGTGACCCTGCAAATTTGCACCCACCATTCTGTTAATGAAGTTCTTGCATTTCTTTCTTCCTAAATAAATACTTCCAACATCTACCCCTTCTGGCTGTTGTGTCTCATTTACTGACCTTGGATCCATAGAGGTAATATGGCTGAACATTGGCTGGCTTGTCCCGCTGGGGTTCCTGTGTGAATGGAATTGCTGTCCTCACAAACCTACAGTGGGCATGGAAGACAGGGAGGAAAGTGGCCGGAGCCTGGTTAGTTGTGATGAGTGCAGATATGGCATGGCCTGGGAGGAACTGCAGCTGCAGGCTAATTAGAAATTCATCACAGGAACTGGAATGCAAACTCTTGCCTTGATCTCTTAGTGGAGTAAAACTTCAATTTAACCTGAGGTTTATTCTCATTTGGGGCAGGCATACCCATGTATGAGCAGCTACCACAGCTCTGCTGCTCAGTAACCCAATCCTCCAAACCAAACTAGCTCTGTTGCTTGCAATCACTGTCTTAACTATCACGTTAATATGCTACTAACATTTTCAAGACCAAGGGGAGCTAGTGGGCTTTAACTTAATTTTAAGTGTAACTCTTTCATCCCATAGGGAATGCAAACCTCAGTGCATATGAATTTAATGTGGCTGGTTTGACACTTTGAAAGAAGAGCAGCGTCTCCAGTGCCCCCTTGTCTTGCTCTTCCTCCTCACCTGTTGGTGGATCCATTGTAACAGTAGTTGGGTAGAAAGTCAAAGTTGAGCTCCCAGAAGACATGGAGGGTGATGCGCCCATAGGGTGCAGACACGTTGTGGTTGGCCTCCCGGAACATGGCATCAAAGCTGTCCAAAGTCATGTGCTTGCACAGCAACCTGTGAGTCAGGCGATTTATTTCCAAGAGCCACTCCAGCTCCTGCAGTACATAAAGCAGCAGCAAATGCAATGTATTACCAAGATGACAATAGAAACAGCTCATTTCATTGCCGGGGAATGATTTTATACCTGCACCCACACAGAACTTTGCAGGTGAGGATGTATCAAATGCTAAAGACATCAGTTTAACCCAGTGGCCAAGGCAAATTGCACTTCCTTCCACTCAAGAGGGTCCTGGTCTGGTATCTCTAAAACCTGCAGGAAGGAAAATGAGTTTGCTCCCCACTGAGCGCTGCCCGGCTTTCACATCAGAATCCTCCAAAGGTGGAAACTAGTAATTTTACACTGCTTGACTCTGATGCTCCTGTAACACATCAGACAGCAAGTCCTGTACGCGCACAAATGATGCCTCAGCCACCTTCACCCAACAGGGGAATCAAAACCAGGATTTCCTTCTCCCAGATTACAGAACTCTCTGCTGTGAGCTCTGCAAAATCTAACTGCTGACTGTCATATTACGATTTATGCAGACATTTAATGGTCCAGTAATAATGCAATTAAAGTTGCCTAAGTAGAAATAGTAGAGACTCGGCAGCATAAAGGAAGATACGTGGCTGCCTGAAACCTGCTGTAGGTGGGACCTGGAGCAGAAGACAGTTAACTGTATCCATAGCACTGTATCATTCTCTCTATTCATACTCACAGTCAGTTAACAGTTCTTACCACTATGGATGTCAGGTCCTCGCTCTCAAAGCGGCTAATGGCCTGGTCTAACGATTTGTACATCGCTGCTGAGATACGCTGGGTAATGAGCCTGTTCAGGTCAATTGATCTACCCAGCAACTGGGAAAAGGACAAAAGACATTTGCATGTCATATACAGATGCAGAAAAGGTACTTTAGTTTTCTTGTAACAGACACAAATTAAAACCAAACATCTGCTTAAATGTGAAAGTGGTGATGCAAATGCCTCTGTTAAGCTTATCATTACTTAAGGGGGAAGGAAGGAAATGTGGAGCATAACTTCTTTTCCCCTCAGGCCCTGTGCCCCGAGCATGGTGTGTCAGAAACAGGTTCAACCCTTCTCATTCCAGCACCAACCTCAACTGAGCCCAGCACTAGGATGGTAGCCACCAACAAAAGGCTAATAGATCAAAAGCTGTAAGTACTGTAGTCTACTGCTTGCACTGTACCTGGACATGCCTCTGCTTGAGCAGTGTTTCGTAGCGGTTGGATGGTGGGTATGGAATAATCACCCCGTAATTCTTACATTCAGCCCGGAAACGTTTGTCCAATAAAACACTGAAGAAAAGGAAACAGTGTCAGGAAAAAAGAAACACACACTATCAGCTTCTCTCTGGATCTTTTCCAGAGTTGTTTTAGTCTTTCTTTTCATCTTGCTCTGAATGCCAAGAAATTTCCACATATTATTAACTACTTAAACCACTAAATCACAGAGCAGCGGTTGTTATGTGGGAAATGCCATAGTGTTGTCCATCTTTCTTGGCTTTTATGGTTACAACATTCAGCAAGATGAAAGACTGTGCTGAAAGGTATCACTAGTGCCAGGTACTGGGGTTGTCCCACAGGTGTGCTCTCTCCTTGAAGATCTGCTGTGGGAGCATTTGGTTGATGAGGGTGACTGCTCTCCTTCCATAAGGCCAAATCTGATCTAGAGACAAAACTTGCAGAGGTACACTGAAGACTTGCTTCACCTTTGGGGACATGAGATGAGGACTCTCACTAGAGTTCATCCATGTTCTTTAAATTGATAAGAAGGAAATGTCACAAAGGGCCTAGCTCCCTGTAAGGGAGCAAGTGGCTCTGCAGAAGTTCCACAGTCAGCTGGTCTGATGTGTGACCTAAGATACTGAGTTACCCTTCTCACAAGTTCTTCTGCTTTACTAGGTGAGGACAAGTGCATGTTCCTGTTTCCTACAGGTGGGAGGCTTTCACTCATCTGCCTTGTACACAAACAGAAGTCAAGCAAGGACACGTCTTCAATAGGCTCGGTTTGCTTTCCTGCCGCACTCACAAACTGTACTCAGAAAGCCACTTAGATGCCAATTATTTTTCACTTTTAACCATGTCTCCTTGCCACCATTAATTCATTTCCATATCTACTCTGGTCTGACGTGGACAGCCAGCTCTGCGGGACAGGGATGATCTGTTTTGTTGTGTGTACTTGCAGTAGTTATTCCCTGAGGGAAATCTTTTGGTTAACAGCAATTTGGATACAGTGATTATCATCAGTCATCATCAGCAGTAAGGTTCTCCTACCTGCCAGCCATCGCTTTATAATAGGCGAAGATCTGATCTGCCAGCTTATACACAAATTGATCAAAGCATAAATTCACCTGGGGGAGAAAAAACAAGACTTTGTGAGGTTGTACCAGCACAGAGCAGCTCCTTCCTACTCATGCAAGATCAATACAGCTCAACACGGAGCTCTAATTTAATATATACATCTATGTCACACTATCTAAAAACTGCACTGCGGTTCTCACGTACCGAAGTTAAACAGAAAATTGCAGCTACATTTCTCTCTAATAGTTTCTGCATATTCTAACAGGGCCTGGTCCCCCATCCTCAATCATCTCTGATTTCTCATTTCCCTCTGATATCTCATAACATCAGATTCTTCCATGGTCCCAGTGTTCGACAGCCTTTGGCTTCCATGGCTCCCCATGGGTAGAGAGAAGCTGAAGCCCTCAATCAGCAAAGTCTGTGAGATCTCTGTAAATCCTGATCTTTTGAAAACTTCTCAGTCTGATGGGGTATTTTTTTTGAGGTGCCTATGATGAATTCACTGAACTGCTGGGGGGATGTCAACAGGGCAATGTGACCCCAGTGAGCTATTTCTGTATAGTAAAGATGAAGAGAACTTACTTCAGCTTCAATTTCATCATATAGAAACTGCTTTTTGAACTTGGTCAAGGCATAGTATGCGCTGTCATTATAGAGATCCAAGGGGTACAGTACATACCTGAGGGCAAGAAGACAGATCATGTCTTAAATTGACTCTGGAGCATATCAGCATAAACTGCAACCGGAGTATGCACCCTGCTCATTGCAAAAAGTGGCTTTTCTCTGGCTTCACTTCTATCATTTCCACTCCCTCTAGCCCCTCTTGCTCTTCGTGTCCTTCTGGAAGCAGCTACAACAGATCTGGATTTGAGCTAACTGTGACTTGCTCAGTCAAACACTCCTTCTCTGCCCTTAAGAAAGCTTTCACCCTGCCCTCACTCCACAGAATTCTCTGACAATGTCCATAAAATGGAAAATAAAGTTTTCCTAATGAGGAGGACATTATGAACATAATTACACTTGCATAACAGCAATGCCTCTCAGTACTTATCACATATATGAATAAAAAAAGTGTTCAGGTGCCTCAGCCAGGGCCCACATCCTTTTGGTTGCACATGCTGTCTGACCGCTGCATGCCAATGACGGTACCATCAAGCTGTGCCCATATCCAAATATGGTTTATGATGCATAAGTAAGTGCCAGTAGTAGTGTGCATCTGCTAACAAGGTACTCATATAGTACATATCCATGTGACAGCCAGTCAGGAAACATCTGTTTTTCCTCCCACGTCACAAAGACTGCTCATCACCAGCCTACTCTTCTGAAAACAAAATCCCAAGCCCCAGCACATGCACAGCCCCAAAACAGCCCATCAGCTCTTACTCCATCATGGAGGGTTCTTTGGTTTCCAGAATATGGTCCGTGAGGATCCAGGGCATGGACATTTCAATGGGGAACTGGATGCGGCGGCCCATGGTCAGCTCCAGGAAGAATTCCCGGAACCAGAGCTGGGACAGGTCACAGCACTGCTGCAGCGCTTCTGAAATGCAGAGAAGATCCCCCCAGTGGGAAGGCACCCACATTATTCCCATGGGGATGGCAGTGAGGGGAAAGCACATGAGGCACATCCTGCAGCCCCATATTGGACTGGTTTTGGATATGGAACATTTTCATAGGATAGCTCTGTTTTTAAACCCAGAACATGTCCATGCTGTCTGAGCACTTTGTAATGAAGAAAGA